TTGTACTGTGCTTTGGTTTTCAATTGCCTGAGATACTTTCCCTTTTCCTTTTACTAGTTGTTTCCTTTGTTTGTACTGTGCTTTGGTTTTCAATTGCCTGAGATACTTTCCCTTTTCCTTTTACTAGTTGTTTCCTTTGTTGGCTGAGGTCCTGATTCTTTGCTCGTTAATTCTGTACTTGATTCAACTTCCTTCACACCCTTTCCATTTTAATTTCTGTCATTAACCAAAAGGGGGAATCAGAGCTAAATCCAAGACAAACTGCAAAACAGAAGCTATAAAAGAATATGTTAAAATACAGAAACTCTAACAAAGAGAAGAAGATCCAAAGGATCAAACTTTTTCTTGCCTATTTTTCTCAGCAACCAAACATAACCTTAGAAATTCACAAGTACATACGAAACCTTCCTCACAACATATACCATAAATGACTATATATATATATATATTTTTTTTGAACAAATTCGCAAGGGCGAACTCGAGCAGTTACTTGAGATGGGAATGCACTTATGCATGACCTGACATCACTTGACATGGGGAATGCATGCACCATAAATGACTATTTTTTTACCTTGCACTCCTGAAATTTTCATGGGAAACAGACGCATGAAATCCCAGAGAACTGGGACGCGGGATTGGGGCGGTTTCGGTCAATCCGAAACCGGAATTCTGATTAACCGATATATCCATTACTCATTTAGGCAACTGTTAATTGAACCGGAACATATCAGTTCTTTGCACTTCATTTGTTTTCGGTGTCGGTTTATTTATTATCGATTTCAGTATAAACCGAAACATTAAAAAACACATATTACCTTTACCCAATTTCAGAGAGGTGGAGGAGAACAGAGGCTGGGGGATGATGGAGTAGGAGAATAACCCTTGATCTGATTTCTCTTTGTAGTAAAAGTAGATTTGGAGAACCATCAAGGTGGTGAAGGAATTCGAGAAACATCGGCGCCAGGGGGATAGAGACGGCAACAATGACAATGAGGGTATTAGAACGGGTGGTGAAGGGATGAAAAGAGGGACAAGGAGTTAGAGAGAAAAGGCTGAAGTGGATGAATGTGAAGAAGAGGAGTACAGATAAGAAATAAGATAAAAGAAGGAAAAATAAAACAAATTATCTAGGGTTAATTTAGAATTTAGAATCAATGGTGTCGAATAAGTTTATATAATGGTTACTTTTCCAAAAAAAAAAAAGTTTATATAATGGTTAACTATTAATTTTATTTCTTCAATTTTAAAATTTT